TTTCTGCTCACTGCCTGCGTTCAACGCCGCCAACAAGCAGCAAGGCGTGAGACAAGAACGAGTTTGCGCGGGGGGGAGGACAAAGTACCAGCGCCTTGGAAGAGGGTGCGTTGGGCGGTTGTGGCAGGAAGGAGGCGAGCACCCACCAGCTGGGACCGTGTGGAGGTGCGGAAGGCAAGGGAGGTCATCCTGGACGAGGAGTTCATTGTGTGTGTGTGTGTGTGTGCTGGGTGTGTTTGAAGCGGTAGCGTGGCGTGGTCTCAGGGAGTCACTCTCTCTTGCGGGCGAGGCGGAGCTGAAGCGGTGGTTGCGTGTGGAAGGTTGAAGCAGGAACAAAGCAAACAACGCACACCAGGCCTGCTATTTATGCGGCGCGGTACTGTCCCAACATCCCCGGCGAGAACGAGAAGCGGTCGCCATTTCGCCGGCAGGCTGACGCCGACGTGTAAAGCCCACGGTCCTCTGCGGGATCCGCCGATGCCCCAGGATCGGACCACCAGGACACGTGTTTGTGTGAGGGATGACCGACGCTCTGCAAAAGAAATTCGGTGGGTTGGGGTCAGGTTGGTCGTCACCATCTGCCCGACATTCCGTAATTTATGTCGACTAAGTATCGAAATGTAGGATATTTTCGCTTTATTTTTGCCCTACGGTCGGCTTTTTGGGACGGTCTCGCCTCGCTGCAGGAGGTCGGTCTTCTCTGCGATGGTTCGGGTCTCCTGCGCAATGCCTTCGGTCCCCAAGCCCGCATTCAGTTGCTCCTTCTCCACGGGGGAGAGTTCGTCGCCCTTGCGCTCGGGGCCGGCCTCCTTCCCCGCCGGCTTGTCCTCTTCACGATGCCAGTGCTCGCTCTTCGTAGGGTCTCGTCTGATGCCCTCTTCGTTGGCCTGTGACAGCTGGGATTCCATTGCGTGCGCGAGTCCTGCCATGATGTTGTATGGTGTTGTGGCTATCGATTTACCTTGGGAGGATAGGTTTTTGTACCAACTCTCACGTCTTCGTAGCTCTGCTTGAGCTCAAAGCCCAACGGAGAGCACTACAGCTTCACCTTCGTTCTTGCCTCTTCCTCCTCTGCATTTCGTTGACGCGAGCCCTCGTTGGGAGGTTTTATCTGGCCACCCTGTACCGCGGAAAAATATTGTTTCTAAACATCAAAAGAAAGATTTGATCAAATGGCAACCACTACCACGTCGATTCGGCCCAATCTTCATCTTCAAAGAAGGGCGAGTGGTTCTTCACCGTCTCCCTCCACTTCGCCTTCGTCTGCCCACTTGCTGCCTGATTTTATCGTCACCACCCGC